ACCTCCTAACAGAAGAAATAATTAAAAGGATTAAGAAAAAAAAATTTTAATAAAAAGAAAAAATAATTAAAAAAAACACTTTAGGGTTCAACAACTTAGAGGACAGCAGAGAAAAGAAAGTGACGATTAGAAAGTCAGGGCTTGCCGGGCGCGGTGGCTCACGCCTGTAATCCCAGCACTGTGGGAGGCCGAGGTGGGTGAATCATGAGGTCAAGAGATCAAGACCATCCTGGTCAACATGGTGAAACCCCGTCTCTACTAAAAATACAAAAAATTAGCTGGGCATGGTGGCATATGCCTTTAATCCCAGCTACTCAGTAGGCTGAGGCAGGAGAATTGCCTGAACCCAGGAGGCGGAGGTTGCAGTGAGCCGAGACCATGCCATTGCACTCCAGCCTGGGTAACAAGAGTGAAACTTCATCTCAAAAAAAATAAATAAATAAATAAAAATAAAAAGAAAGTCAGGGCTTTTGGCTGGGCACAATGGCTCATACCTGTAATCCCAGCAATTTGGGAGGCTGAGGTGAGTGGATCACCTGAGGTCAGGAGTTCAAGACCAGCCTGGCCAACATGGTGAAACCCCATCTCTACTAAAAAAACAAAAAATTAGCTGAGCGTGGTAGCATGTGCCTGTAATCCCAGCTAGTTGGAAGGCTGAGGCCAGAGAATCACTGGGAGGCGGAGGCTGCGGTGAGCCAAGGTTGTGCCACTGGACTCCAGCCTGGGCGGCAGATCGAGACTCCATCTCTAAATGAATGAATGAATGAATTAAATAAATAAATAAATAGCTTTTTAAAAAAAGGGAACCAGTCAAAGGATACAGGATTAGGTTATATAAAGAAAGAGGGGTAAAATGTAATTAAAAAAAATTAGTTACTATAAAAATACAGTTATCTGTAATAGAAAATGACTGCTTATCCTGAAAACAAGAGAAGCTCCAACTATAGCAGACTTATGAGAGCTCTGAAGGAAAATATCCCACGCCTGGAGCAGAGAGACTAACAAGAGACATTGGAGAATCTCATTCCCCAGGGACTTTTTGGAGGACAGCAAAAATCTATGTTCTGTTTTCTTGACTAGGTAGAATGCTATCAAGTGGTGGAGCTATGATCTTTTCAAGGACTCCATATAATTTCATTTATAAACTCATGAACTCTATTTCAATAAAGAGCAGACTATAATTCTTGAAACTATAATAGAGTCCTCTCTTGAGGTCTGCTCTGTAGCATATTAGTTAAAAAGAAAAACCTTTTGCCTTTTACCATTTGCATGTTTTCTATATTTCTTAAGGCCTAACTTGAAAAGGGGAAGTACAATACATTCGAGTTACACTCATAAACATCAAATCATAACCTCTGGTTCCACTGATTCTTAGAGGGTTAACAGGCATTTGCCTTCTTATTACTACATTTGTTCTTCTAATGTATTACTTATTTATTAATTTGTAAAACACTGTTATTGCATCTAAGTGCTAAAATACAAACTTAAAAACATAAAAATTATTTAAATCCACCAATGAAAACAAAAAATTTAAAAAGGGAAAAAGATGTTAACTTAATGCAAAGCTACTAGAAGAGGATCTAGTAAGTGAACAAGACTTTGAAACCAAAAAAGTCCCATTTAACTAAATACAAAACGAATATGACATGTACCTGGTCAACAGTTAGTCAACCAGCCCTTGTTAAAAACCCACACTGTGGGGGGGGCCCAGTGGCTCACACCTGTAATCCCAGCACTTTGGGAGGCAGAGGTGGGCGGATTACCTGAGGTCAGGAATTCAAGACGAGCCTGGCCAACATGGTGAAACCCTGTCTCTACTAAAAATATAAAAATTAGCCTGGTGCAGTGGCACACACCTGTAATCCCAGCTACTCGGGGGGCTGAGGCAGGAGAATCACTTGAACCTGGGAGGCAGAGGTTACAGTGAACTAAGGTGATGCCACTGCCCTCCAGCCTGGGTGACAAAGTAAGATTCCATCTCAAAAAAAAAAAAAGCCCACACTGTATAGGTACCTTTGTGTTAGACTGTTTTCACACTACTATAAAGAAATATCTGAGACTGGGTAACTTACAAACAAGAGTTTTAATTGACTCACAGTTCCACATGGCTGGAGAGGCCTCAGGAAACTTACAGTCATGGCAGAAGGCTAAGGGTAAGCAAGGATCTTTTTCACAAGGCAGCAGGAGAGAGAAAAATGAAGAACTTCCAAAACTTATACCACCACCAGATCTCATGAGAACTCACTCACTAACACGAGGACAGCATGTGGGAAATTGCCCCAAGATCCAGTCACCTCCCTCAACACGTGGGGATTACAGGTCTCTCCCTCGGCATGTGGGGATTATAATTTGAGATGAGATTTTGGTGGGGACACAGAGCCAAACCATGTCAGCCTTTAACAGAGGGACATAAACAAGAAGAGGAATCCAGTTTACAACATGAAATGACAAAAGAGATGGATGGCAGTAACCAGTAAGACATGTACAAGATGACAAGCTTTGAGGAAACACAAGGTCTGGTCTGAGAGCTATGGACCTAATAAGCAAAGACTGGAAAGACAAATGCACAGTTAGTTGTTCATGGGCCGTGGAGGCCTTCCTGTCATATAAAAAGGGTTCCAGGAGCTTGGAATAAGCTAACCACTTTGTTTCCCCCTTTTCATCATCTAGGTTAGTATAGTCCTCTTTAGTAGTGTTTTGAGTCCTGAGAAGCAATGTTGTATAGTGGCAAGAGCCTGGGTTTAAATCTTACCTCTGCTTCTGGAAGAAGAGGCTGAGATGGTAACAAGATCTGTGCTCCACTGGGAAGTGGCCACCCAGGTAGGAACTGACTAAATTTCCCGGTCATTAGCATCTAGTATGGCAATGTGACTAGTTCATCTCAGTGGCATGTGAGTGGAAGGCACGTATGCTACTCCCAGAGCAAGGCTTTTCAGAACTAGGTGTACCTTCTCTGTTCTTTCTCCTGCCAGCTAAACGTGGCTGATGCTGAAAAGGACCTAGATGGCAGAACCACAAGAAAGAAGCTGCCTGAGTTCCTCAGTCACATTTGGGAAATTCACTTAACTAGAATACCCACACTGACTGTCCCATGACTAAGAAATAAATTATTGTGTTAAGCCACTGAAATACTGAAGCTTATTTGTTACAGTAGCGAGTTAACATAACCTATATATATATATATGCTGGTAATTACTACAATAGTAATGGTGATGGTGTCAGACATTGCATCAAACAATCCATCGGTAATACTGTTAAGAAATCTTGGCCCAGCCTAGGCAATATGGTGAGGTGCCATGTCTACAGAAAAAAAAAAAAAAAAAACTAGCTGGCCATGGTGGCACACATCTATAGTCCCGGTTACTCGGGAGACTGAGCTGGGAGGATGGCTTGAGCCCAGGAATTTGAGGTTACAGTGAGCCTTGATCAGACCACCGCACTCCAGTCTGGGCAACAGAGTGAGACCCTGTCCCCACCCCAAGTAAGCACACAAAAAGATGCTCAACACCATTAGCCCTGAGGGAAATGCACATGAAAACCGTAATGATATGCTATTCCATCCCCACTAGGATGGCTATGGTCAAAAAGATGGGCAATAGCAAGTGCTTGTGAGAATGCAGAAAAATGCGAACCCTCAAACATTGCTGGTGGGAATGTAAAATGGTACAGCTGCTGTGAACAATTCTGGCAGCTCCTCAGAAAGTTAAACACAGTTATCCTATGACCCAGCAATTCTACTCTCAGGTATATATCCAAAGAAATTGAAAATATATGTTCACATAAAAATGTGTACAGGAATGTTCATAGCAGCATTATTCATAACAGGCAAGAAATGAAAACAATTCAAATGTTTATCCACTGGAGAACGGATAAACAAAGTGTGGTATATGCATACAATGGAATACTATTCAGCCATAAAAAGAAATGAAATTCGGATATATGCTATAACATGAATGAACCTTGAAAACATTATGCTAAGTGAATGAAGCAAGGAACAAAAGGTCACATACTATATGATTTCATTTATATGAAATGTCCACAGTACGCAGATCCATAAAGAAAAGGCAGAAAGTAGATTATTGGATGCTGGGGCTGGGAGAGTTGGAGGGAAATAGTGAGTGACTGTTCATGGGGAAGATGTTTCTTTTTGGAGTGATAAAAATGTTCTGGAACATTGGATAGCAGTGATGGCTGTACAATGCTGTGAATATACTAAAAACCCCTCAATTATATACTTTAAAAGGGTGAATTTTATGGTATGTGAATTATATCTCAATTTAAAAAGGAAAAGAGAAGTCCATTTGCTCCACCTTGTCTCTTAGAGATTCTGGCTCTACACAAAGAGGCACTGAGCTCTTTTCATGTACCATGATTCCAGGCTGCTCAGAACCCACAGACTCCTTCTTCCTATCTTCTGCTGAAAGCAGACAAGTCCAAACAGCCCCAATGCCATATGCATTAAGTGCCTGTGTTTGCCTGTGGAGAAATAAGGCACAGGGCTTTCCTTAGTTTGAGTAACAGCATAGTTAACACTGAGCTGAGACAAATATTGACGCTAGCTCTGAGAATGCTATGAGGGTGGGGAATAGGATAGAGCCCCATAATAACTACTAAAGTATGCACTGCTTCAGCAAAGTTCTCTAAGGGAGAAAACAATCTTAAAATAGTAGTGTGAGATGTGGTGCGGCGGGAGGGAGGGGGTCTGAGAGAGGATTGCATAAGGAAAGTATCTTTCTTTTCCCTATTAAGGTACACATGTCATTTTCAAAAGTGTGAGTCAAATTCACACCACAGAATAGAGAAACCTTGTTTGGTGATACCAAGTAAATTTCATGTAAGTATTTAATAGTCAAAACTGAAGAGAAGATCACTGGAGTATGTTTTCAACCTGGAAATAAGAATGTAATTTGGTGATTCTATGAATCTTCTTTGGAACCTCTGAAGCCACTGCGAAGATTGTATTTTTGATAGGAATCAATTCCTAAAAAGACACAACTTACTTGCAGGAGACTTTAGTTCTGTCAGCAACCATGGTCCACTGTTGCTGGTTGGTAGAAACCTCAACGTAGTAGCTATAGCTTCGATCGTCACAATCCCAAAGCAGTAACCTGAACAAAGGGGAAAAAAATAAAATTGCTGGAAACATTCTACCTGGTTGTTTCCTTAGGCTGTGGGCATCTCCCTCCCACCCACCTCCTTTGTCCAGCACATTTCTAGGACTGGACAAAGTAGTGAATCCCAACAAAAGCATGAGGAGAACAGGCAGAGTCGTTCTGCAGTGAGAGGCTTTTGATCTTTAGTTTTTTTCACAAGTCACCTAAGCTCAGGCAGCCTCTGCCCGGCTGATGGCAAAGTTCTTCAGACTGGTTTAGGAGAAAGAAGATGTCCCCAGATCACCTTTCTAGCTTCTTCTAGGTCTCCTCTCCAGTTGGCTTGGCTGACCACTGCTCATGGGAGAATATGTAATTTCTAATTGATTTTTATTTTTTATTTTTATTCTTAGAGGCAAGGTGTTTCTCTGTCATCCTGACTGGAGTGCAGTGCTGTAATCATAGTTCACTGGAGCCTCCAACTCCTAGGCTCAAGTGATCCTCCCACCTCAGCCTCCTGAGTAGCTGGGACTACTGGTGCACACTATTTTTTTTTTTTTTTTTTTTGGTAGAGGTACAGTCTCACTATGTTGCCCAGGCAGGTCCTGAATTCCTGGCCTCAAGTGATTCTCCTACCTTTGCCTCCAAAAGTGCTGAGATTATAGGTGTGAGCCACCATGCCCAGCCTAATCAATTTTTTTTTTTTGAGACAAGTTCTCACTCTGCTGCCCAGACTGGAATGCAGTGGTGTGATCACAGCTTACTGTAGCCTTCAACTCCTGGGCTCAAGTGATCCTTCTGCCTTAGCCCCACAGGTAGTTATGGTTACAGGCATGTGCCACCATGCCTGGCTATTTTTAAATTTTATGTAGAGATAGGGTCTTGCTATGTTGCCCAGGCTGGTCTCAAATTTCTAGCCTCAAGTGATTCCCCCCACCTCAGCCTCCCAAAGTGCTAGGATTACAGGTGTGAGCCACTGTGCTGGTCTAATTAATTTTTCTTATAGTATTTTCTAATTGGTGATAGGCCCATGACCTTTATTATTATGTTTTATCTTCTTTCTTATTCTCACCTGGATTTTTACAGAGCTGTAGTAGGGTTATCTGATTTGGAGATATAGGCAAATACACACTCATTTGCAAAACTTTCATTATTTAGAAATCGATTATCTTGGTCCTGTTCTTATGCCCCTTTTCTGCACAGATAGGAACTTAACCATTAACTGTGTAATTTCATTTACATGAAGCTCAAAGCAATTTATCTGTTGGTGACAGGAATCAGAATAGTGGTTAGCTCTGGGAGAGGTATTGACTAGGAAAGGGTAAAAGGGAACTTTCTAGAATCCTGGAAAAGTGCTAATTTTGATCTGAGTGATAGTTACATGGGTATATATGCATGTAAATATTAGTTGAGCTATTCATAAAAGATCTGTTCACTCTGTGTGTGTTATTCCTCAATTTAAAAAATAATTTTAAAAAAGAATCTGGCAGGACATGGTGGCTCATGTCTGTAATCCTAGCACTTTGCGAGGCCGAGGCAGGTGGATTGCCTGAGCTCGAGACCAGCCTGGGCAACACGGCGAAATCTCGACTCTACTAAAATACAAAAAATTAGCCGGGCATGGAGTTGTGCACCTGTAATCCCAGCTACTTGAGAGGCTGAAGCAGGAGAATTGCTAGAACCTGGGAGGCAGAAGTTGCAGTGAGCCGAAATCGCACCACTGCATTCCAGTTTGGGCCACAGAGCAAGACTCTGCCTCTTAAAAAAAGAAAAAGAATCTGAGCATTACAATACAGGATTAGTATTTTGCTTCTGACAGTGCCACAGGGGAGACAGATATTGTTTTCTATTATTTCAGCCTTAAAAGCCCTTCCTATACAAACTATGAATCTTATTGCTTTATAGTTGGTCAGGTGTGTTTGCTTCCTCTACCAGGGGCATAGATAGTGAGCTACTTGAAGGCAGTGCCTATGTCTTACTGATTTTTTCTACACCATTGACATAATGTCTCACATGGAGCTTAAACTCAGTCAGTGCTTGCCAAGCAAATACATTCTTTGTAACAACACCAGTAATAATGATCATGATGGCCAATATTTCTTTAATGTTTACTCTATATCAGGCCCTATGTTAAGTTCTCTATACAATTTGTCTTATTAAAATCCTTCTAAATATTCTCTTAGCAAGCACTATCACCCTTAGGAAATTACAGACGTTGAAAGTGAGGATTAAAGCTTCTTAAGTAACTTTTCTAAACTCATACAGTAACTGAGTGGTGGAAATGATACAAGGTTCTAGGCTGGTACCTTCACCAAAAGCCCATTTCTGTAATCCCACTGCCAAATGTTTCCATTACTCTCACTTTATATATCTGGTTCATAATTTACAGCCTCTAGCCTACCACTCTATAAAAGTCATCTGTATTATTTTTCCTTAATCTTATGATTATAATCAGTGAAAATCCTCTGCACAACAAATTTAGTTTAGTGTCACATATAAAGCTATTACCGAGGACTAGGATTGCCTGTATTTCCTGTTTTCCTTTACTCTTGTCTGTTTGTGTGTGGCGGCGGGGAGCTTGGGGGGACAGCTTCTTACTCTGTTGCTCAGGCTGGAGTGTAGTGGTGCAATCATAGCTCACTGCAGCCTCAAACTCCTGGGCTGAAGCAATCCTCCTGCTCAGCCTCCCAAGTAGCTGGGATTACCACATCCAGGTAATTAAACAAACAAACAAACAAAAAAACAAAAAAACAGATTATTTTGTAGAGATAGGGTCTCACTGTATTGGCCAGGCGAGGTCAAACACGTGGCCCCCATCTACCCTCTTGCCTGGCCTCCTAAAGGTCTTGCCTTACCTTTCATTCTTTATTTTCTATTGTAATTCTGTTCGCAATCAGTTACTAAACCCATGCTACCTAGTATTTTTGAACTCATCTTGTAAGTAGAGAAAACTGTTAAATGTGTTTGGAAGGCATACACAGATGATATCTACTGATTCCCATTAATACGCCTTAGTGTTTAATCTCTTCTCTCAAAGTACCCTGAATGAATCACAAAGGATGCCACTCTGTTGTTCTTAAGTGTCCCAAAATTCTATTTAGATTACACTAATTTGCTTATAAGAAAGTGAATCATTTCCTTCATTAGTCATTTCCTCGAATATTATCCTAGTCTCTTAGCATTTTTATGCAGTTAGCCTATGCTAATTTATATTTATTTTGAGTAACATTTAAAAGGTATTTTTTGCTTCTATGTTCGGCTCTCATTTTGATTATAAGAACTTTAGAAAGACATTTGATCTTTCTCTTTTTAAAAACTCTGCTTCAGACACGTGGGTTCTGTTCATGGCATATGTTCCATACATGTTCTGGACTGAAATCATTCGTAACTCTGACACAGTAGACTAAAACTAGGGGTTAAAGGTCCAATCAATTAAGCATTCTCTTCATTTAGCAGCTCTGGTAGTAACAGGTTTGTTGGAAGATAACGTTGAGATTATTTTCCCCAATAGAATTTTTAATTATTTATGGAGAGCCAGGTTTATCATAATCCCTATCCTTCTAGGTAATCATAAACTAGTGTTTCTACAGAGGATCGAAATGAAAACAGTCAGTACCTTTTGGGATAGAACCTAACCAGATCTGAAAATATTTTATGGAAAATGACTGCGTTGAGGATATAGGATATGGAGAAGATTAAAAACGGAAGACAAATTATGAGTATCATAAATACTCTAGTAGATATTCTTGGAGTGATAAAATATTTGAGAAAAATTTTAAGTTGTATATATATATCATGCTCTATAAGAAGCTTATTCTATAAAAGTCCTCTAATTTGTTTCAAGGCAAATTATAATTTTACAATGAAGATAATCTGAAATTCCAGTAACTTTTAAAACATAAACACACGCTTTTTCGCAACGGGTTTGCCGCCAGAACATAGGTGTCGTGTTCATTGCAGCACTGTTTACAATAGCAAAGACCTGGAACCAACCCAAATGCCCATCGACCATAGACTGGATAGGGAAAATGTGGCACATATACACCATGGAATATTATGCAGCCATCAAAAACGATGAGTTTGTGTCCTTTGTAGGGACATGGATGAACCTGGAAACCATCATCCTCAGCAAACTGACAGAAGAGCAGAAGATCAAACACCGCATGTTCTCACTCATAGGCGGGTGTTGAACAATGAGAACACATGGACACAGGGAGGGGAGCACTACACACTGGGGTCAGTTGGGGGGAAATAGGGGAGAGACGGTGGGGGGTGGGGAGCTGGGGAGAGACAGCAAGGGGAGAAATGCCAGATGTAGGTGATGGGGAGGAAGGCAGCAAACCACATTGCCACGTGTGTACCTATGCAACAATTTTGCATGTTCTTCACATGTACCCCAAAACCTAAAAGGCAATAAAATAAATAAATGGGGGGAAAAAACAAAAATGAAAACTTATACAATCATTTCCCTTGGGGACAGAGTCATGGACTCTATCATTCCCTGGGAATAACTTTAACTGGAAGCGATTTCAAGAATCCAACTAAAGCAGAGAAGAGAGTAAAAAATGCCACATTAAAAAAACAACTATTTTATATTCTCAGAAGAAAGAAAATGTATGAAAGCCCTCATGTTTTACTATTAATCTAATTTTTCCACATTTATCTATTTTGTCTTCAAAAGAAAGAATAAACTTCACATATTTTCTTTATAAAAAAAAAAACAACATAAACACACAGTGCATATGGTTTGTAACTTGCTACTTTTGCTTAATGGTCTGTTATGAATATCTTTTTGTATCATCAAATATTCTTCTATATCATATGTACTGACTTCATAGTATTTCACTGTAAAGATGTTCCATACTTCAATCAATCTCTTACTATTAGACACTTAAATAGTTGATAATAGTTCACTGTTATGAAAATTCTTTTTTTTTTTTTCCTTTGGAAACAGGGTTTTGCTCTGTTGCCCAGGCTGGAGAATGCAGTGGCGCAGTTGTAGCTCACTGCAGCCTTGATTTCATGAGCTCAAGTGATCCT